GGGGGGGGGTTAATCTGTTTTATTATTATTATTTATTGTGGGGTTTGTTTTATCTATGTTAATGATGCGAGTGGCCTTGATTGCCTAGGCAAAAGGCGGGATACACAAATAAAGTTTATTATTATTATTATTATTATTATTATTATTACTACTAAGGTAACCCTATCATGAGAAGATTTCATCAGATGGGCTTTTCCCATCCTCTGAGGATGAGAGAGTGTGACTCTTCCAAGGTCTCCCAGTGGGTTTCCATGTCCAAATGGGGATTTGAACTTGGAATCCCCAACACTCAAACCACTCTGTCTCTCACACAGTCAACCTCTGATCTCAGGCCTAAAATGCCTGTTTCTAGATATCTGTTTTTTGAGTTGCTAAAAAACCAAGTGGGACACATATTTTTGAGAAAGTCAGCTGCAAAGAAGAGACTGCCAGGAATTGCAATCCCAAGAAGAGTTTTTCAGGCAGGCTGCTGGTGGTGGGGAAATTAAGCATGAGCAGAGAGGGAATGGCCTTTTCCTGCATTCATTTGCTGCGTCCAAAGGCCAAACTGTTGCTAAGCCAGCTCTTGGTAAGAGAGATATTGAAGACTGGGAAGGAAAAGGGGATGCTGGGAATTGCAGTCCAAGAACACTTGGGATGGGGTGGGAAACACCCTCCCTCCCTTCTCCTTTTGAGGTTGAATGGACGTTGGGAGGGGAGGACACATTGTCCAGAGAGATTTCCCAGAGGCCTTTGCACTGGCTAGTGGTCAGCCCAGCCTGGATCCAGATGGGCCCAGACCAGGGGAGCCAAGACTGACCACCAAGCAGAGGGGGCTGGGGGTCAGTTGGCACCCCCCCTCCCAATTTTGGGCCAAAGGATCCCTCGAAAGCAGCCTTTACTCCTGATGCGACCCTGCCTGCCTTTCATTGCCTCCTTTTATTGCTACTGGTAATTCTTAGACCTTTTATTAAACCCACTTCCCTCCTATGTGGTCGAGTGTGTGTCCATTGTCAAGAGCAGCCTCTCTGTGCTCCAGGGCCTTTTGTGTGTGTGAGTAGAGTAAGAATACTTGTCATATATCTTTATACATTAGAGAGATCAACTGACCTCTGGGTTTGATGATAGCCTACTTGGAGGCCTGCAGATTTGCCAATTCCTTCCTCTGAAATAGACCCTCCAGCACCTGGTCTCCCCTCCGTTGTGCTTACTAGGGCTGACCCTGCTGAGCTTCCAAGACCAGAGGGGATCTGGTGCCTTTCGGGCATTTAGGATCTCCTCCACCAGCTCTCCTCTTGGGGCTTATTTTTCAGAGCTGCCCCTTGCAAAGTGGGTTCAGGGCTGACATGGAGAAGATGTCCAGAACCAGGCGCTTTCCTGGGGTGATGGGGTTCAACCTCCCAGGGCCCTTTCTTGGGGGCAACTTAGCTGGGGAGGGGGTCCAGGGGAGACCCTGGTTGGAGGGCTGGGGCTCAGCAATGGAGGAGGGGTGGCCCTTGAGGAGCCAGGGAGGGAGCCCCATATTTAGGATCGTCCCAGGTTTCGAAGGGAAAAGCCAAGGCCTGGGAGGAGCAGCCCCTCGGGATGGCCTTCAGCATTAGGCATTAAGGGCTATCCACACTTGCTCATAGCTTGCCATTCAAACACACACACACAACACACACACACACACACACACACGGACAATAATATCCAAAATCCACAAAACAGGGATACCTCAGTCCAACCAGCCAAATCGCACAAAATCCACGATGCACAAAATGTGCCTTTCGGTTGGCTGGATAAAGGTATCCCTGTTTTGTGGATTTTGGATGTTACTGTACTTTGCTATAGGGCCAACATTGCTATCCTTGAAGATGTTCCACAGAGAGAAGGTAAAGC